TTCGAGGGATCCAGGGGCAGCCATAGCTTCTCTGGGCAACCTGTGCCAGGGCCTCCCCACCCTCACAGGGAAGGATTTCTCCCCAGTATCCAACCCAAATTCCCCCCCTGTCAGTTCAAAGCCATTATCAAAGCTGCAGAATCAGCAGCTCCCGAACCCACTGGAATCAGACAACAACTGCTCATCTACCTGCACCACTACACAGATTTAATCCGATTTTTGCCACAGGTTTGTGCACAAACACACCCTTTTGAAGGTGAAAACCCCTTCCCAAGTCCTCTTTACTTACCTGCTTGTCCAACTCTCCAAAAGCAAGAGCACCTACCTGGGGTTCTTGTTGTTCAGACTCAGGGCGATCTCGTTGACGGCGTGGGGGTGGGACATGACCATGTTGAATCCATACTGGGGACAGAAGGGAAAGAAAGTCCTGCTGCAGTTCTGACACCCCAAATTATTACTCAGGAACCCAACAAATCCCACCACCCTGACCAGACCCCCGTGGCAGTTCTTTAAGCCAAACAAAACCTCGTGGAGTTTACTGGTTAAACCGAAATATTTCATCCTCCCACCGTTCCTAAAAACTTCCAACTCTGGATATTCCATGATCCTACAACTCCCTGCCACTGGCAGTGTTGAAAATACTCCTTTTGGCCATGTCAGCCAACAAAAGAGCTGCTCCTACATTATTTCCAGCCCCTCTGCTTGTCCTTTTCTCCCTCCAGCCCCTTTTTAATTGTGACAGTCAAGTGCATGATTTACTCCCTGAAGAGGACTTTGAAGTTCAGTTGTTGTTACTCTCCAAAAATGAAAACAGAATTCCTTTGGAAAATACTCCACTGGTTTTTAGGACTGTGGCTTGTCTCCTTCCCAATCCCTGTAAATCCCAGGAAGCTGGTACCCCCCAGGGCAGAGGGGGGTTACAAACACCTCCTACACCCCTCAGGAACTCCTAAGAAAGGTGTTCCCCACAGGCTTCCCTTGTTTTAGCAAAAAATCCCAAATCCTTGGAGCTCCCTGGACAAACTGCACAATCCCTGTATCCCACTGAAGAAAAAAAAACCCTCAGGAAAATCAGGTTAGCTTTGGGTTAGTTGGTTCACTCCCACTTGTCCCATTGCCCTGCCATAAACACTTACTGAGGAAAAACAAGGATTCTTCTGGAAAAAAATCTCCTGTTTTTAAGCATTAAGACTAAATGCTGAGACTAATTAGAACCTGATTGGCTGCAGGTTTAATTAGTTAGTGCCCAATGAGCACATCATGCACAGGCTCACCTGTGCCTTCCCACCTGCAATAAATCACCTGCACAGGTAAATCAGAACTGTGTCCTGCTGCTTCCCATTTTAATAATGACAATGTAAATATTTGCATCGGTTTTACCTTCCAAATTCACCCCTAACTTCTCCTCCCCCCTCCCAACACTGAAAAAGTTCTGTGGTGTCAAAAGGCAATTAATTACCTGGTAGTTCATTATGGCCCTCAAGCACATGATGCAGACGTGAACATCGTCCTTTTTACTCACTAATCTGGAGTTTTTTAGTGTTCTTCGGCTTGGCAAGGTGTTGTACCTGCAGAGAGAAGCAGCTCTCATCAACCACAGGGCTGGTTTTAGGGGGTGAGAAGGAAGGAAGAGAAATATCCCTCCACTGGGTGAGAAGGAAGGTGTTTCTCAGGTGAACACGGGGCAATATTCATGGAAATAAAGCAGGAAAAGGGGCTGGGATGTTCACACAAAAAATGCAGATGTTTGGCTCCACAGACCAGGAGCTGCAGTGCCAGTGCAGGGGACAGTAAATATTCATAATAAAGACATAAACAAGTAATACCACACTGAATTATTGTGATTCACTACTCTCTGACACAAACACCTCCACATTCCCTCCCTTCAAATGTCCAAACCAAGAGGAACGAGGGGGGTCGTGGAGCTCTGCCCATGGAGAGCCCACAACCCTCAGCCTTCAGCAACTCCTCCCCTTGGCTTTCATTTTCCAGCAGTGCCAAGATGAAAGAAATCCCAAAATTCAAAGCAGGATTCAATCAAAAGACTTCTTTCCCCCCCCTCCCATAAATATGAATGAATAAATCAGCTCAGGGCACTGCAGGAGGATTTCAGGGCTCTGGGAAAGATTGACCCAGTTTTGGCTGAGAACAGAGGGTGGTTTCAGCTGAATTTTGGGGAGTGGATCCTGTGGATGGGACCAGGATTGTGCCTTGGAGAACCAGGACAGGATGAGGCTGATGGCTCCAAGCTCCTTGGATTGGGGCTCTGCACCTGGAAACTCTGGCAGCTCCTGCTGGGAATGGGGCTGCCAAGGAGCTGCAGCCAGGACTGTCCCACCATCCTGCCTCCTTCCCCATGGATCAGCTCACTGCCCACACAGACCCTGCACCCAGGGACTCCTTCACTTCCCAAATGTCCCTTCCTGAGATAAAAGAGGAGCAGAGCAGCCTTCAACTGGGAGTCTGAACTGGGAAGTGTGGAATTGCTGCCAGTGCTGGCTGGAGAATGTGGAACCACACCACACCAGCCCATTTCAGACATTCATTTCTCCAAGTGAGAAAACCCGGCAATAAAAGGATTTTAAAGTCATTTCCAGTCAGAGATTATCCCTACAACGACTTATCTCAGCTTTAAACCACTAAAGGCTGCAGACATTCTTTTCCTTCACATTTTAAATCAGCAGATTAATGAGATCTTAATCATGGAACTGATAGGAGAATAAACTTCCTCAGTGCACCAGCTCCTAAATTTCAGAATGCCTTTAGCCATCTGACAGTTAAGAAATGGGAAGAGTCTCCTTAAACTAATAAAAGATGACGATAAAGCCAGAATTTGGCATTTCCAGATTGGTCTCTTCCAACCCAAACTGTGATCCTCCAATCACAACCTGGCACTGCAGAGCAATGTGGGCACCAGAAGGAAGGTCTGAGGTGAAGCCAACACTCCCTTCCTCCAGAGAGGTGGAAAAGCCCCACAGAAACCCAGCAGGGCTGCACAGATCCCATACGGCCCCACCTGCCCCCAGCCAGGAAAGCTGCTGGTTTGGAGCCTGGAGATGTTCCCTGGGGGGATCCTCATGAGCAGCTGAACGGGCAAAGCCAGGGGCAGAGGTTTTGTTCTCCTCCCACATCCCCAGATGACCCTCCCCGTGGGGACTGTCCCAAGGCACAGCTCCATCCCTGAGCTCCTCTGCCTTTCCCACAAATCCCGAGGCAGTGACACTCAGAGCCCACAGGGCGGGTTGGAGGGGCCCACAGTGGGTCACCTGCTCCAGCAGGGCCATCCCAGAGCACAGAGCACAGGGCTGTGTCCACATCATTCTGGGATATCTCCACTGAGGGAGACTCCAACCCTCTGTGGGCAACCTGTCACCTCACTGTTCTTCCTCACGTTCAGGTGGAACTTCCTGGCATCAGTCTGTGCCCGTTCCCTCTTCTCCTACTGCCTGGCATCACCAAGCAGAGCCTGGCTCCAGCCCCTTGGCACATTCCCACTCCCACCCGTGTCAGTGTCCCACTGGGGTGAGACCCAGGCATGGAACCTGCCCTGAGGAGCAGATCCAATCCCTACATTTCCATCCCTTCCCTTCCCCAGATGCAAATCCCCTCACATGGACCCGAGTGCCAAAAATTCACGAGATTTTGCACAGCAACTCCTGAACAACAACAACAGAGCCGAGGCTGGAGATGCTTCCCCTGCATCAGTGGTGATCCCAACAATTCCCAGTGTTTCTGCTCCCTCCCCAGAGCAGGGCAGGCTGGTGGGAGCTCCGACACCTCCCTCCAGCCAAGGGAAGGGTGGCTGAGCTTCTCCTTGCTTTTCCTTCATTCCTGGTTCCTGAACACTTGGCCGAGCCCAGCAGCTTGGATGACTCGTTGGGTTTGATTTCCTGTCTGCTGCAGGTCAAGGATTATGTCACCACGAGTATATTTATCCTGCTAATTCAACTCAGATGGTTCCTCTTTTTATTTCCTCGGCCCCTCCTTTAGAGGGGAACCATAAACCCCTTCTCCCAAAAAAAAAGCAGGGGCAGAGAAGCTGAGTGTGTGGAAGCTCCTGCAGTGGATAATGGGTTCCTCCTGCCACTCTGGACCCTCTCACACGTGGGGAAGGAGTTACTCCATAGTTTTGGGACTTTATGCTGCTGGAGGATGGGGGGAAAAATGCAAGATCCAGGATTTCCACAGCTGGGATTCTGCAGCCATGTGGGAAAACAGACAACCATTAAACCCAAGGCTAATCCTGTGCTGAAATACAGAGTTTTAGGGTTCTTTTCTCACCCACATCTAACAGAAGAACTTTCTGTTCAAGAATAACTGATTTATCATTTTTATTTCCTTAGGGACATGGAGATGCACCCAGGGCTGGAGCCCCTCTGCTCTGGAGCCAGGCTGGGAGAGCTGGGGGGGTTCCCCTGGGGAAGAGAAGGATCCAGGGAGAGCTGAGAGCCCCTTGCAGGGCCTAAAGGGGCTCCAGGAGAGCTGGAGAGGGACTGGGGACAAGGCATGGAGGGACAGGACACAGGGAATGGCTTCCCACTGCCAGAGGGCAGGGAGAGATGGGAGATTGGGAAGGAATTGCTGGCTGGGAGGGTGGGGAGGCTCTGGCACAGGTTGCCCAGAGAAGCTGTGGCTGCCCCTGGATCCCTGGAAGTGTCCAAGGCCAGGTTGGACGGGGCTTGGAGCAACCTGGGCTGGTGGAAGGTGTCCCTGCCCGTGGCAGGGGGTGGCACTGGATGGGATTTAAGGTCCCTTCCAACCCAACTCATTCTGAGATTCCATGACATGTGCCCAATCCAATGCAGATTTACAATGCACCACATTAATTCCAATTACAGCTGCTCTCTCCTCTCATTTTTACCTCGTTTTCTGCTAAAAAAGCCCCTCATCTCTCCCCTGGCTCCCTGGAGAGCAGAGGGCAGCCCAGGATGGATCTCACCACCCCCTGGCAGCTGGCCCAGCTCTCCATGGGCTGGGACTGCTGGTTTTCCTTGGGGTTGGGTGGGTTTTGGGCGACATTCCTGCAAATGGATTGGTGGTGGTTTGGAAACTGGGGGGGGTTGTATTATCAACGTCCTCCTGACAGCAGAAAGTGGCTTTAGAGGAGGAAGGTTTTGGCACATCCCACAAATTTGGGCTTTCTCTGATCCCTCAGAGCTGATCACAAACATGCTCTGTTAAATGAGGAAACATCTGACCAAAAGGATGTTTCTCAGGTCCCTGAGCAGTGAAAGTGTTAATGGCAAAGCCCAATTTAAAGGACTGTAGCACAGGAAGCCGTGTCAAATTAAAGTCCAATTAGTGAAGGCACTCAAAGCCCATCTATGGATTGAGCTCCCTGGGCCTGGATCCTTCTCTCCTCGTGGAGATTTTGAAGAATTGAAGTTTCTCACTTCAATCCACATTAAAAACTCCAGTATTTGACTGGGAAGAAAGGGAATTTCTAATGGGCTGGGCCCCTGCAAAGGCTGCATTAATATTTATCTGACAGGAGACTCTGACTCTCAGCAATGCTCCCTCTCCCAAAAAAGCAGCAATAAAATCCCCGAAGCTTCAGCCCCTTTTTTATCCTCCTGCCCTCGTTTTGGAGTCGGTTTCCCAAATCCCTGTGCCTCCTCTTCAGGAAAAAGCCCTCAGTTGCCAAGGAAACCCAGAGAGCAGGGAATTGGCAGGGTTGAGCACTGTTAAAAAGAGCTCTGGGAAGGCAGTTGGAGTCGGGGTTGGAAAGGGATGGGCTGAGCCACCAAAGGGACACACAGAGCTCCGTGTCCACCCCAGGCCAGCTCCAGAATTTGGAATTATCCTGGTAAGATTTGACAGCCTTCTCCTTACTCATCCAAGAGGGAGGAGCACATCTTTCAGTCCAGCTGGGCTGCCCCTGAATCACTGGAAGTGTCCAAGGCCAGGCTGGACGGGGCTTGGAGCAACCTGGGCTAGCGGGAGGTGTCCCTGCCCATGCCAGGGGTGGAATGAGATGAGCTTTAGGGTCCCTTCCAACCCAAACCATCCTGGGATTCTGGGATTCCTCTCTCCCATTTCAATGGTTTCCATGACAAAGATAGAAGAGCAGCTTCCACACAGCAGAACCTACAGACACATCTGGGCGTCCACATCCCAGAATCCTCATTTACCACTCAGTGGCAGGGCAGGACCCTCCTGGTTTTGCCCAAAAACATGATCCTGCACAGCCTCCTCACTCGATGAGCACCTACCTTGCTCTCAGGAAAAGATTCTATTTCAATTATTTAGCAATTCCACAAAAAATACAAAAACCTTCTTAAAACCTCCCCACCTACCTTTAGCTTTTACTTTTTTAAACACACACAGTCCCCAGGTATTGAAAAATACACATTTTCAAAAACACGCATTTTAGAACACAGAGTTAAAAAAAACCCCAAACAACAACAAAGACCAATCCAAATGTGCCAATTCCACACAGTTTCTGCCTAAACTGCCCCAGTGCTGAGATGGCTCTGGAGGGACTTGGCTGGAGAACAGGGTGTTAAATCCCATTTCTGTGCCGGTCTGGGGTGTGAATAAAGTCTCTATTCATAACAAAAAGATGAAGTAAGATGGACAAAGACCAAAGGCTCTGTGTTTCAGGTCTAAAACTAACACCACTACTTGCAGCATGACAGAGGAAACTCGGATCTCGCTTCCAAGTCAAGCCCGTCTCACGTCCTCCGCGAAAATCCCGCCCTACGGAAGCCACTACTCTGGGAATTCTATAATGTGATAACCACACGCTTGGGATGCTGGGCACCCTCCTGGGGGGCAGCACCAACCCGTGTGGATATCAGATTATCCGGCATGGGGAGCAGTGCTGGCCCCTGGCTCCATGCCCTGCACAGCCCCGGCTCCGGAGGACCTTCCACTCGGGACTTACGGGATTTTCCGGCCGGGAGCCTCATCGGCAGAGCCCCAAGTGAAGCTGCTCCAGAGGCAGGTGGCTGACCAGCAGCTCTGGCAGCGTTTGAACTCAAGTTGCTCGGGCAGAGAAACCAATCTGATGGTGTGTGAGGGGAGGGAAGGATGAGAGAGAAGCGTTTGAGAGGGAGAAGGGAATGAAGGAGACATCGAGACGGGGAATCAAACAGGTGAGGAATAAAGGGAGATGTGAGAAAGGAAAAAGGATGGAAGGAAACGAAGAGAAACAATGTAAGAGACATGTAATGTATTCCCGACTCAGGCATTTCTAATCCCAAGCTCTCCTCCCAAAAACAGATGGAACCAGCACAGGGCTCTGCCATTCCTGTCAGAGCAATTACGGAGCAGAGAAAACAAAAAACACTCACAAAAATAATAAATCAACGGCTCAAGTGATTTTGCTGCACTCCAGAGCCTGGATTTCTTTACCAGAGCTGTGCCTGTCTCCTCCTCTCCACTGCCTGAGGGCTGGGAACTAAATTTTCCAGGTACTGCTCCGGAGCCACTCGGGCACTGAGCATCAACCCAAGGGTCACCTGCCTGGCAAAGCAAAACAATCTCTGCTGGAAGGAAAAAGCTGGAAGCCAGTTCTCACTGGCTCCATCTTTTTTTGGACTCTTCTACACTCACAGGGCTCTGTAGCAACCAAAAAAAATCCCAAGTCAGCCAGCACTCCAGGTAACACTGCTGGAGTCTGAGGGAGGTCCTCCCTGTGGTTTAAATAGTGGAGCATCCAAGGAATGGAACAGCCTTGTCTGTCAACCACTCCTGGGAAGTGATCCTGCCTTTTCCACACATTAAACAATAAGAAAAAGGCAAGATTGGGAAAGAGAGACTCCGTAGCAAAGCGTGGGGTGGTGGGAGAGGGACACAGGTTTGAAGGATGGAAGTGGCCTTTCAAAAAAACAACAGCTCCTGTTGGTGGCAGCGTGGAAGGAACATGCTGCTGGAAGAGATGGGACACAGATGAGAGCCCCAGACCGGCTGGGCCCATGGAAACCTTGAGACATGTTTTGGAGAAGAGGGAATGGCTTCCCCTGTGCTTTGTAACAGGTGGAGATGATCCTCAGGCCATCCTGCCCTTGGGAATGGGCAGAGTTATCCCTGTCCCTTCCCCAAGTGTGTAACGCTGTCCTGTGTCACCAGCTGGGCACTTCCCACCTCACACCACCAGCACAGCCACACGTTCCCTAGAAATGTCATGGCTCTGCTGGGAAAAGCGGGAAGGTGGAGGATACCCCAGTGGGAGAAGGCCCCCCATCCCAAGGCCTCGTACCGGAGCGTGGAGTGTCGGCCCGAGCGGGAGACACTGTTCCCAACCGGGGAGGGCAGGTTGGTGCCCCTGTGCAGGTCCTCGATGGAGCGGCTCCAGGGCTTGGACTTGTCCATGGAGTTCTCCACGCTGTTCTCCAGGCTCTCAAAGTCAAACCTGAAAGGGAAGAGGAATTCCAGCGCCAGGTCAGACACAAGAGGTGCCCCGAGTTTTCCTTCCTGTGGGTTTGAGGGGAATCACAAAGTCATCGGACAAAGCCAAGTCTGACAAAATCAAATGAAAAGCCCTCCAAGACCATCGAGTCCAACCATTCCACCAGCTGTTCCAAGGGCCCTTCCCACCCAAACCAGCCTGGGACTGTGTGATCCCTGAGGTTGGAAAAGCCCTCCCAGCCCATGGATCCCCCCTGTGCCCGATGCCCACCTTGTCCCCCAGCCCAGAGCACTGAATGCCATGGCCAGGCCTTCCCGGGACACCTCCAGGGATGGGCACACCACCACCCCAAACATGTATGAGGTAAAGGGAATGCTAATGGTTAATAACATTCCTTATGTGATCCAGTGAAATAGTGATGGAAAAGGAGACCTAAAGACAATGTGGGGCTTGAGGGACACGGTAAAGTCCAGGGAAACGGGATGAGCTCCAGAGGGGGGAAGGAAATCCCAGAATCACAGATTCTTTCAGCCTGGAAAAGGCCTCCAAGATCATCAAGTCCAACCATCTCCCAGCACTGCCAAGGCCACCATTAACCATGTCCCCAAGTGCCACATCCACGTGGATTTTCCACCCTTCCAGGATCAAACAGCTCCATATTATTCCACCTCAACACAACACAAATCCAGCACTGGCTGCTCTGCCCAGGGAACAGCTCTGCCTTAAAGGAAAGAGTGGGAATGCTGGGACCCCTCTCCACTTCATCTCAACAAATCAGTTGTCCAAGCACCGGTTTGGTTTCCTCCAACACCATGTTGGCCTCACAAATCTCCCAGCACGTGCAATAAATCACCATCACCATCCCAGCCCCTTCCCTGCCCCTTGTTCTGCTATTCCAAGCAGGAATTCTTGTTCCCTTTACAGCTTTGGAGGTTGTTACTCATGTTTACCATGTCAGGGGGGAAAAATCCAGCGAGTCACTTGCGGACATTTGTATAAATTTAGGAAGAGAGTCTTCCTCTAAACACTTCTTTTTGCTCTGCACAGTTTTTTCCAGTTAGTCACATTTTAAAACATATAATTTCCCCTCATTCATTTTTCTGCAAGGCCACCAAAAATCCCTTTTCTGTGCAGTGATATACCATAAATGTGAGGGCAGCTTTGCTAAAAATAGATTATCAGTATCTTTAACCTAAGGCTTCTTTTTAGACACTTTTATATCAAAAAAATCTGCTACATACAATCCCCTGAATTAATGTGGATATAATGCCCCATTCCTGGAAGTGTCCAAGGCCTGGTCTAGTGGAAAGTGTCCTTGCCCATGGCAGGGATGGGCTTTAAGGTCCCTCCCAACCTAAACCAGTCTGGGACGATTCCATGACAATAAATAAATTAATAAAATAAAATTAATAAAATAAACAAATACTTAGATTTTTCTGCTGAAAATCTACTTCCAATTCTGTGACATAACAACTCACAAAAGCTCATTTTCCCACTCTGCTTTCAGAACACGTGTCATGATTTATCACCCACACAACTAAATAAACGTGACCCCCAACTACCCAGATGTCAGAAGGGAAAAAACTTGGTTTCCAGCCTTCCCAACTTGCAAAATGCCCCCCCCTGGAATTCCTCCTGTTTTCCTGGAGCACATCTGCTGCCCAGGACACCCCCAGCTCTGCCTGTGAGCCGTGGCTGGGGTGTGGATGTGCCCTTTGAACACAGCAGGAACACAATTCCTTAGGGTTGGGCACCGATTCCAAACCTCTTTCCAAGGGAGCCTCCAGCCTTCCACACATTTGTTTTATGCACCCCTGAGATGATCAGAGGCCAAAGCTAAAAAAAATGTGTCAGTGCAGCCCTGGAGATAAAAAATCTCAAGGTTTAAATTCAGGCTTGGGGTGAAATAATTCCAGACTCAAGTTACCATTTTCTCTGCTCTTTAGACCCAGAATCATGGAATTACTAAAGCTGGAAAAGGCCTGCAAGATCATCAAGTCCAACCTTTGAGCAAACACCACCTTGGCAACCAAACCACATCCCCAAGTGCCACATCCACTCGTTTTTGAAGTGGTGACACCCCCACTGTCCTGGGCAGCCCCTTCCAATGCCTGACCACTCTCCCAGTGATGAAATATTCCCTAATATCCACCAGGATCGTGTATTTTCTGGCAGGAAAGCCCCAGGAATGTGTTACTCACGTGACTGCATATTGTGCAAAGGACAGGTACTCCACCAGAACATCCAGGCCCTTGTTCTCCTCATTCAGGAACTCCCTGACCCACCTGTCAAAAAAACAGCAGAGCCTTTCAGGGCCTTTGGGAAGCCACCGGAATTCCCAGATAAACTGGACAAGCTGCACCACTGAGCAAAACCTTAATTCTCACTCAGGAAAAAAAAAAAAAAAAAAAAGGCTTTTTAAAATACCCTTTATTATTTAGGAGACTTTAAAAAGCAGCCCTTTAAATGGCTTTACAAATGTACTAAACCCAGGGGGGGTTTTTTTTGGGATGGTCACCTCCAAACACACAAAGTCACAGGGACCTGGCTTAGTTTTTATCACATCTTGATCTCTGAAGGTCTGTAAAAGCCTGGAGGTAGCACAGCAGGGAAAGAATAATCTGATGGATATCCTGGATGTGCATCCAGCAGTAATTTTGCCTTCTCTTTTTAAAACCTATTAACCTGTTCCAGTGAATTTTGGCCCCTGAGTTTCACAAAAGAATTCAGAAAAGTCAATTATCTTCCTAAGATTTTGAAGATGCCAAGTGAAAGTTTGGAATTCCATCCATTTAGGGGCAAAGCCAGGGGGCCAAAGAGGCTCAGCCCAGCCCAGTTCAGCTCTGAACCCCAACCAGGTAAGAAAATCCCCTTGGGAGTGGGGAGGTACCACTGGAATTACTGGGGATCCAGGGAGGGAAAGGGAGCCCCAATCTCCCAGGGTGGGAATTCATCACCTCTGAGTTATTCTGGTCTTCAGGCTTTGAATCTTTCTGTTTACCTGCTAAAATAACCAGCCTGGTGCTCGATAAAGTGGATTTGAAGCTCATCCTTCAGCCAAGTGAAGCAAATAAATGAACATTGGTCCTGGAGCCTCTTTGCTTGAGCTGGGGCAGCACCACAGCTCCTCCTGCACATCCCAAATCCACGGGGCATCAGCCCAAATCCACAGGGCATCATCCCAAATCCACAGGGCAACACGCTCAGGTGCCTCAGTGCTCTGCTGGGAAATCCTCAGTGTGGGAAAATGAGGTGGGAACGTCAGTGGGAATGGGATGTCTGACAAAAAACTAAACCTCTGGTGATTCTTTGGCTATTTGAGAGGAATTTTCTGCTTTGTGGAAGAGAAACCCTGGTAATTTTACTCCCATCCAGGTTTCATGAACTGCACCATATTACAGGTATTAAACAGCAGGGGGAAGTTATAAATAAATAAATAAATAAATATATATATATATAGTTAGCTCTATTATTATTCTAGACACAACCACGGGCTGAGCACGAGCAGAAGTTGCTTCAATGTCTCCTCAGCCTTCACAGAGATGTGGATGAACCTCTCAGGAAAGGATTAAAGCTGAATTATTCTCCTGAGGATGCCCAGCTCTGCTCAGCTGAGCCCCACGGGCTTTAACAATCAGTCAAGTGCCATCACTGCTCGACAGGCAAAGAGATGTTTTCTCAAAGACATCCATCAGCAGACGTGAAAAAATAAATCTGAGAGCAGAGGCACCAAAATTTCTTACCCTATGTGGTTTGTCCTTAAAGAAATTTCCAGTTCTCGCAGCACCTGAGTCGACTCTTGGACTCGCCTTCTGAACTTCTGGAACGGAGTGAGCAGCAAAAATAACAGTTAGAGTCATGGGGTGCTATTAAAGAATAGCAACATCTCAGATTGAATAAAGAAAACAGTTCCCAGGTAAACTGAGAACTCTTCCAAATCCCCAGGAATGCAACAACAACACTCCAGCAGTCAACAAAAACACGCGTGGAGAAACCACTTCTGTTCCCGGGGACATTCTGGAGTTTCCAGGATTAAGAAAATTAAAAGCCTGTCGATAAATAAACATTTCTTTATGAAACAAGCTTTGATTCAGCATCAAACTCTCTGTTGAGGGCTGGAGCAGATCCTCTCCTTCCTCTGCAAAATCAGGTGTAGAGAGAGACAACGAGGTCACCTCCTCTCCCATCTGGAGAAGGATTGTCTTCTTCTCCCCTGCCCGTGGAAAAGTGCTAAAACACCTGGATAAATTCTAGCAAATCCTCATTTTTGAACAAGGGAAATGAGAGCCAAAGTGGATGAAGAATGAGAAGGGATATTGGGAAGGAATTCTTGGCTGGGAGGGTGGTGAGGCCCTGGCACAGGTTGCCCAGAGAAGCTGTGGCTGCCCCTGGATCCCTGGAAGTGTCCAAGGCCAGGTTGGAGGGGGCTTGGAGCAACCTGGGCTAGTGGAAGGTGTCCCTGCCCATGACTCAGACTCAGCTTCTCTGCACCTCTTTAATTAGCCCAGAGCACACAAACCCAGCACCTTCTCCCCCCCAGAGCTCTCACATTGTAACTCCAGCAATACAAAATCTTCCCTCCCCAGAAATCAAGGTCAAATATTGATGTTTAAAGAGGCAGATGGTCCATGGGCTGGGAGGGCACAGCAGGAACCAGCAGCACATTCCCACATGGAACTGTCACCCCCAGCAAGGCCAGGCTGCTCTGCCACCACAGCAGGGAGCAATCAGAGAATCCTGGAATATCCTGAGCTTGAAGGGACCCACAGGGATCATCCATCCAACCCCTGGCCCTGCACAGACACCCCAACAATCCACCCTGTCCCTCAAAGCGTTGTCCAAACCCTCCTGGAGCTCTGGCAGCTTTGGGGCTGTGCCCACTGCCCTGGGGAGCCTGGTCAGTGCCAACCACCCTCTGGGGGAAGAACGTTTTGCTGAGATCCAACCTGACCCTGCCCTGGCACAGCTCCAGCCATTCCCTGGGTGCTGTCCCTGCTCACACAGAGCAGAGATTGGAGCTGCCCCTCCTGAGGAAGCTGCAGACCCCTGAGGTCCCCCCTCAGTCTCTTCCAGCTGAACACTCCAAGTGCCCTCAGCCCCTTAATGACCCAATTTGGTGCTTAACGAGCTCCAAGAGCCACCAAACTGCAGCTGCTTTAAAAAAACGTGTCATTTCAACACCTTTTTATTCCCTGCTCCAAAACTCAGCTCAGCCAAAAAGCAATTGTTTTCCCGGGAAGAGCCATTCCAACCCCAATTAGGAGCTGGAACAACACACTTTCAGCAGCCTGGAGCCACCTCCTCTTGGCCACGCTGGGGATCGGCAGCAAAACCACTGACACCACCTCAATCCCAGCAATAATCCCAGTAAGAGGAGCTCTCCCATCTCCATGTGTAAATCTTTCCATCCCACAGCCCGGGCTGAGGAAAGGCTGCGGGTGATATGGAACAACACCACGAAGAGGAACTCCTTGTTATTTTTAGGGGTTATTTTTAGGCCCCTTCGGGTTTGTCACTGGTCATGGGACCCTCAGAGAGGCATCAGGATAAGAAAGGCCTCAATGTGGGCCTCAAGGGAGCGAAGCCAAACACTCCATGAACCTCAGAACCCCTCAGGAGGAAAAACACAAAGACCTTGTTCACCGGGTGCTCAAAACAACTCTGATCGGCCCCCGGCAAATCCAAAGGTTTCCAACTAAATGGGTTCCTACTAAACAGGCTCCTCCTCATGGTCAGAGGCTCCAACAAGAGGAGCACTGTCCCAGGGCACTAGGAAACACGAGCTGGAGCACAGGGCTCTCCATGGCCCCTGTTGCCACCCCGGGGATGGAGCAGCACCTCCACGGAAGCCCCGTGTCAGGATCCGTGTTTTCCTGCAGGGCTTATTTCTGGCAGCACAAAGCTGGGATTGTTGAGGACGAGGCAGAGCCAGTCCAAGGCAGGATTGGATTTGCTCTGCTGCCTCTTTTTGTTGTTTTCCAGAGGCTCTTCCAGCTGTCCCACAGGATGTGAGCTGATGGCCAACAGGGTTAAATCCCAAAGGTTCAGCCACGGACTTCTAAATGGGATAAAAGTTTACTGGAAGTCTAAAATCTTGGAGGATATTCCGAAGTTTGCCCTGTGAGGGACTGGCACAGGTTACCCAGAGAAGCTGTGGATGTCCCTGGATCCCTGGGAGTGTCCATGCCCAGGCTGGAGCAACCTGGTCCAGTGCTCACAGCAGGGGGTGGAATGGGATGACCTTTAAGGTCCCTTCCAACCCAAACCATTCTAGAATCCTGTGATTCCATGATTTTATAACAAACCCACCAGAGCTGGGCTTAGTAATCTCAGAACCAGCCTCAAACACATCCCAGCACAGAATCCACACTCAGGGACACACAAAGGTCGAGTGAAGTGTCTGAGTCTCCCACAAGTGATTTCCAAACTATTTGGGATAAAATAACAGGCAAAAGGATGGAGGAGGCTGTGCCATGTAAACACAGCCCAGAGGGGGTGAACTGTGCCAGCTGCACTGAAACTCTGCCCTGCAAATCCCCAGGGAAAAGGACTCCAAACTCAACAGCCCCTTCACCGGGGTGAGCAAAGTGCCCTCAGACAGTGGTTTTAATCCCTGCCCACACAAGAGCCAGGCCTGGAGCTCAGCTCAGTGATAAATTGTCCAATTTTTACTGGAGCTGACGTTGTTCAAACAAGTTGTGTTGTGTGTCAGATGGTCCTTTGCTTTCCAACATCTGCTGCCCTCCCCGAGCTGTGAAAACTGCAGCAAATTCCCAGTTCCTTTCCGAAGGGAGACTTTGCAGGGGATTTACACAAAGGCAGGAAGGAACCTGGACCCCCAGGACCATCCTGGATGAGGGATGAGGGACAGCAAGAGGAAACAGGATGCTCCTCACCTTCCTGGTGACTGCTGGGTCCAGATAGCCCTTTAATTTCTGGATGTATGTGTGTGGAGGATTCTTCACTTGGAATCTTTCCTGCAAAGGAGACAAGAATAAACATCAGCCACTTCAGAACATCTTTTGTATTTACTTATTCTATATATAAACCACGTGCACACACATATATTTGAAGACTATATAATTAGGATATAGTTTGATATGTACATGCCTTATATTCCTAAGGATGTAATTTATGCACATCCTTAGGAATGATATGCATGCAAATAAAATATATTTATATGTATCTTGATAGTCTGGAATTGGATCTTTATATCAGATGCATAAAAATACACGTTACATATTCAGGGACAATTCTGAATTTTAATTACACAAACAAACACACACATCTGGAGTTATGGGGTTTCTGCTCTGCAGGAGAGGAAGGAGAAGGGATAGAAAAGTGGATGCAGGTCCATGTTTGATTGAAACCATCACCACAAAAGCCAAGACACCTCTTTTATCACTTGGGAAAAGCCCAAAACCACATTGCATGGGCATGGGAAAAAAGACTCATCATTCCTTGTTGGGATCACAGGAAGATGAACCAAAGAGCAGCGTTATGAGCAAGAAGAACAGTTTATCCCACCAAAGCTGCTGGGAAACACGAGTTGTTCCATGAGGAGTGAGCTCTGTCCAAACCTGTGAAGAGCATTACCAAAAGTCCTGATACTATTTGTATCTTGGAAGAGTTTTAAAACTATTCTGCCCCCCTTCCCTTGAGGAAAGACCTCATACCAATTTCCTCCTGAAATGTCCCATTTTATAACTGTTATCTGAACCCTCCCTTTATTAGGTCAGGATGAAGTCTTGACTACATTATCCCAAAGTTATTCCAGAATGAACAGGACTCTTCTGCCCAGTCACCAGAACTGTCTGAACACCACAAGTTCTTCCTGTTTTTATCTTGCTGTAAAAAAAGTAATTCATGGTGGTCAGCAGGAAAAAATGAACACAGGAGCCTGCCCTGGTCCCTCAGCCCTGGTGAGAGCTCTGAGGACACGGAGCAGACTCGCCTTTCCTCTTTTACAACCAGATCCTTTTTCCAGGCACATTCACACCTACGGGCCAAACACGGCTCTGGAATTGGCATTTCCTTTTTTTATCTAAAAAACAGTCCAGAAAATGCAAAGTTCTTCACTGACAGCTCCTCTCTGGCCACAGTGACACCGACAGGGCCTGTCCTGCTCCATCCTCCCCCGGCACGGTGTCCATGGCCACGATTTCCTCTTGGCTCCACAGCACAGATTCCTGGAGCCAGTCTCCTCTCAGATGGTTCCCATGGCTCAGACAGACCCTTTCCTGGAATCACAGAATCCCAGGACGGTTTGGGTTGGAAGGGACCTTAAATTCCATCCCCTGCCATGGGCAGGGACACCTTCCACCAGCCCAGGTTGCTCCAAGCCCCGTCCAACCTGGCCTTGGACACTTCCAGGGATCCAGGGGCAACCAGAGCTTCTCTGGGCAACCTGTGCCAGGGCCTCCTCACCCTCCCAGCCAGGAATTCCCTCCCAATATCCAACCTAAATTCCCCTCTGTCAGTCTGGCAGGATGCTGCTGGGCCGTTCTGAGTCAGCCTTACAGCCCCCCCAGGACAGTGAGGTTTTACACTGGGCATAAATATAAGTTATTTAGCAGCATTTTCCACCCATTAACCCCTTTTAAAGCTCCTTCCCACTGGCAAACAGACAAAAAAGCACTTTGTAAATGAGAGTCTGGGCCATGGTTGGCCAGTAAAGAGCTGTGGAGGTATCTGGACCTCAGAGACCACCACCATTCCTCATTTCCCCCTCAACAGTTCCATATGAGCTCCAGAGACGCTGCAGCACTTGAATAAGCCCATCATTTCCTACAAAACCCACCAAGGTCAAAGTGTTCTCACTGTGCCACTTGGCATTCATGCCCAAATACTGTTCTTTGCATCTCCAAGTGGTGGAGCACCGAGCCAAAGGTCACAGAATGATCCCAGAAGGGTTTGGGTTGGAAGAGACCCGAAGGATCATCCACTTCCAACCCCCTGCTCCTCCTGACAGCAGCATCCCAGCCCACCAAGGCTCCACCTCCCCTCTCCCCTTTACCCCTCCCTTTTTGGGGGGTTCTCTCCTGCTGGGTTTAGTCTAATCCTCCAGAGGAGCTACTTTGCTCTTAAGGATTTATTTCTCTTCCCAACTAATCAGCTGCTGAAGTGACAGGAGCTTTTCCCAACTGCCAGTTTTAATAGTTGGAGTCTTCAAAATGAAACGTTTAAGGAGACTCAACGAGCACATTTTGCAGTCTGGGCTGCAGATACTCAGTGTTTGTGTTTATTTTCTTAAAACCTGGCTGTAATTATGTATTTATGTAACAATCTCTACAGCAGTTTCAGTTAAAAAGATGCTGCTTATTCCCATGGAGTGGAATCCTTTGGGCTGAAGGATTTTAAAGCCATTATCCACGAAGATCAGCCACCAGCAATGCTTTTCCCTAACAAGTGACCAAGAGCCACTTGTGGGAAACATCTCCTAGTCCTGGAAAGATTTTTACAGCCCCTTAAAGTGGTTGTTTGGTGGGGTTTTTTCCTGGTTTGGAAAGCCATGAGGGATTAGCCTTTAAAACTGCCCTTTCCTGGCTGTGATGACTGTCTGGGTTTATCCAGTTTTGACTCTTTTACATTAGAGGCTCATTAAGAAGCTGCCAGAACCAGGGCTTGGTGCTGCGCAGAGAGGGCAGCCCAAGGCTTCCTGAAGCTTCTGGATCACCCTCAGTGCCTGGTTACAACTCTCCTGCTCCCAAAAAACTGACTGGGAGCTCCCACTGGAGCTGGGAGCTGGTTGGAGGCTGGTACTCCCCTTCCCATGAATGCCATGGAGTTGGAGTCCTCTCATGGTCCTTCCCGGGAGCGTCCCCACAACCACAATTCCCAGCCAACACCAAGGCCCTTCTCTGCAAAACCATGTGCCTCAGAAACCAGAAATAAAGAGCTAAAAGTCATTGCTTTCTCCTGCCTGCTCCCCCTCTCCACTCCTGGCAATTCCCAGCCGCTCCCTGGCCAAACCTGCTCTCGAAATCCCGATTTTTATGGTGAGGCTTTGACACTCTTTGAAGGAGGGGGGGGGAGGGTTTTACCACACACACATAAAGTTTAAACCCCAGCTCTGAGCAGCCAAACTTTGCTCAGCAAACAGCCTAAGCCAGGAGGTGACATCACGACTGGGACATGGTGGCTTCTCCTCCTGGTCCTGCCAGGATTGAGCCGTTCAGACACAACAAAGTTAATCCATCCCGATGGAACCTGTTTTATCTCCTCTGTGTGACTCATGTGAGCACCAACATTATCTGCAGTCCTGAAAGGAGAGAGGCAGAGCAGCAATAACTCACCACTGCCTTTGTCAGCCACCTACAAAGCAAACTAACTTAATTCCCGAGGATAAAGGCCCCTTTTTCACTCGGAAAATCGCCGAGGATGTGGCTGCCCCATGCCTGGAATGTCCAAGGCCGGGTTGGACGGGGCTTGGAGCAACCTGGGCTAGTGGAAGGTGTCCCTGCCCATGGCAGGGGGTGGAATGAGATATCTTTAAGATCCCTTCCAACCCAAACAATTCCATGATTCTGTAATCCAGGGAAAGAGCACGAATGCAGCAGCACAACACGCTCCTGTGCCTCTTTTATCAGCAATATCCAGAATTAGCCCTTTTATTTCCAGATGGATTCAAAAAAATGGGGGCTGGGGGAGGGGTTACTTCAGCAGCCAAGAGGAAGTGCTGGATTTCTGCATTTCCTCTTCCACAGGATCGCACAAAGACCTCGATGCATCCCTTGGTCACGCGGATCTGGAAAACGGATTAATTCCGTAACCAGGAAATCGCGGCTTTTCCAACAACCTCTGGCTTCCAAAAAACATTCAGGACATTTTTCTGCATCAGCACATATGTTACTATCATCATTATCGTTATCCTTGCTAAGCTGTTTCATTCCTAGGATTCACAAATGCTCGGCGAGCACACGGAGCATCCGATGGGATCGGAACCCCACAGGCTGTCGGCGCCTGCTGGGAGAGCAGAGAGCCCATGGATGGAGATCACTGGGGAAGGAGATGGACAAGCAGGGCTGGACACCAGTGTCTTCTCCTTCCTGAGGCACTAACGCACCATAAGTGTGGTTCATAATTCCCACAGAGCCAGAGTGTGGCTCAGTCCTGCCCCGAAATCCAGCCAGGCCCACCAGCAGGACAACATGGCACATGTAAGTCTCCTCATGGAATGAGACGACAGCAGTTGCTCATCTCTGCACTGATTAGGAGGCAGAATGAGCCATTTCCACCACAATGACTTTCCTGCCAAGCCAGGCCACCAGCACCTCTGGAAGGGACCCGGCCAAGCTGTGTGAGGGAGGGATGCTCCAAGGCTGGAGACCAGCCTCACCACACTGAGCCTTGGACCCCTTGTGCCTCATCTCCAACCACTCCATCCCTCTGTGTTTGATGTTCCCCAAGTCTCCTCTCAGGGCCACCCAGTCAGGCAAATGAAGGCACGAGCGTCTCCAAGTTCAAGAGAGTCCATTAAAACACATTATTTTCCCCCTGTATTTTCCCACAGCAGAGGAGATTCACTGAGACTCACTATTTTTTTTTAAGAAAAGGCTCTCAACCCAGAGGTGCAAATGCTGCCCTTGGAAAGAGATGGAAAATGCTTGGTTGGATATTGGCTAATTGGATCTCTGGTGCCCAAGGGTCAGTGGCACCCCGTGTTACCCTGTGGTAACATGGCCCCTCCAGCACATCTCTGAGGGGAGGTTTGGGACAAACAGGTAGCACAACATTCCCACAAAACCCTGCTCCTCACTCCATCACCATCCATGGAGATCCATGGATCCTTGGGCAGAGCTGGGGGGTCACCCAGCCAGGGACTGGCACAGCACAAGCTCCTCACCTGGGGCTGTGCATCCAACATTCCCACACACTTCCCAGTCCCACGTGGAAACAATTCCTGACGTGGCACGTGGAGCCCCCACAAGGCACCCAGAGGGGCTTGTCTGGGGTGAAATTTCCCCCAGAAGAGGCGTGGAGGGGTCAGAGCCCGTTGGAGCAAAGCTGAGGGGTGGCACAGGACCCCACCCATGAGCTGCTGGACAAACCCACCAGCACCCCGTGAGCTCCACGTGGCCACCAGCACCCAAACCAACCAGCCTCCAAACCAACCAGCCTCCTTCCAAACCAACCAGCCTCCTTCCAAACCAACCAGCCTCCTTCCAAACCAACCAGCCTCCTTCCAAACCAACCAGCCTCCTTCCAAACCAACCACCTCCCAAACCAACCAGCCCCCCAACCAACCAGCCCCCCAACCAACCACCCTCCAAACTAACCACCCTCCAAAACAACCAGCCCCAGCCTCCTTTATGAGCTTCAGCAGGTTCTCCAACCCCCCAGTGGGGATATTCTGGGTGTGAACCACACCCCTTTCATTCCAGCCCCTCAATCCCCACACCCCTCCCGTGCCTGCAGAGGTGAGGACTTGGTGATGCCCCTGCCACCATTTGCCATTAGAGGGCAATGAAGAACCTTGGAAGATGTTCCCAACCTCTCCCCTTGGCATCCCTGTCCCTCTGGAACACCTCATGGCACCCAGCTGGGGAGAGAGGCCTCGAGGACACCAAAAGAGGCCTCGAGGATCCCATTTCCTGGCTTTCCATACCAAGAAACAGCATCCTCTTCCCTGCCTGGATCCTTCTCAATGCCAACCCCACAGATGACCAGCCTTGACCCTCTCCAGGGTGGGCAACAGGTTTCCTGGCTTTGCTCTTCTCCTCCTCCTTGCCCCCTAAGCAGGGGTAGGGAGCAAGCTCTGAGGACACCAGTGCAATGCTGAGATGCTTCCAAGGTTTACAGACAAAGGAACACAAAATTCCACATGGGATGAGTCCTCCACAACCAGCCCTGCAACCCTTACAATGATTCACCAAGGAGCACATAATCCTACTCATGGCAAATTATTATGATTATTCTTATCATTATTATTATTACTAGCATCAGCAGCAGGAGACCTGTAGTTTCCCACTCTTGTTAATCCCACTTTTGCAAAAGTGAAAGTTCCTTTAGGGGGCCAAACTCTCTCTAATATTCTCAAGATATTCCACATGCAAACATCCAGGATCTGATTTTCAGACTACTTAGAAAATATCACTGCAGATCAATCTCTGGGTACTGTCTCCTTTCAAATATAAGCTGGAAACCAGCACAGGAGACAAAGAGTTATTTCCCTCAAGCTGTTCCATTCATTTACAAGCAAAACCAGGTGAAAATGGTGTAGAGGTTGAAACCAAGACAAAAAAAAAAAATACCAGTGAAAATCTGCCCCCACACCAAACTCAGCCACTGTGCACAAACCCTGCTCCTGGCAGTGCTTTTGGCCCCGGAATTCCAGGGACACACATCAATATTTCACACCCCATATGCTGCCTTTCCGTGCTTTTCCCAACACCTGCTCAGGATGATCTGATTTAGAGGGGCTGGGACTGACCCCAGAGAGCCCCTCTCTGCCCAGGAGTGTCCCCCTGGATGGCTGGACACGGGAAGGGTGGCACATGGTCACCTCCCCTCCTCCTCCTCCTCGCAGTGCTGGTTCCATCAGCCCTGAGCCGCTTCCCTGCCTCTCCAGGCGATGGGAAGCGGCCTCATCCCAACCCGGGGGTGGACTGGAGTTGTGCAAGGAGCTGTTGAGAGCCACAATTACTCCAGATTGCAGATTTCCTTCCCATCTGCTCAGCCCTCCCATCCCCGAGCTCGGCAGTGAATCAGCAGCAGCTGCACAGGGTGGATCAGCTCCGAGGTGGGAATTTGCACATCCAGGCTGGGATCAAACTGCTTCTGCCTGTCCTGCTGCCAACTCAGAGCAAGGGCAGCACACGGACTCCAGCATGGAGCTCACGCTTCCCTGAGCTCTGAAAACACCCAGGAAACAAATCACGGAAATACAGAATCCCAGAATTGTCTGGGTTGGAAGGGACTTAAACCTCATCCAGTGCCACCCCCTGCCATGGGCAGGGACACCTTCCACTAGCCCAGGTTGTTCCGAGCCCCGTCCAACCTGGCCTTGGACACTTCCAGGGATGCAGGGGAGTCTACAATCACTCACAGTAGTTCCTGCAATTTTTCAGTGTCTCACTAAACCAAAACTTTAAATAGGGCGAGCTTTACATTCTCTGCAGAGAA